TTTCCTTATTATCAAATTAAATATCATAATTTATTTTGTACCATTGTTAATAAAAGTCACAATATATTGTCATGACTATAAAGCTAAAGTATTTTATGTAACATAATTACTTTTCATAAAATATATGAAAATTTTGCAAACTTTATTCCAGACAAGAAGAAACATGAATATGTAACAAAGTTATATTTTTGTCTTGGCAATGGTAGATCATTTTTAGAACTGAGAACAAATCAAAATCTCACAAATTAACTTTATCAATGTCTTCCTTTTTTTTTTTTTTACTTGATCCTATCTAAAAAAGATGAAAAATTTCTTTATCTGAATTTTATATTTCTAATCAAAAGAATAATAAAGTCTTTAAAAAACACCCCCACCCCCACAGAAAAAATAGTTATATTTTTTTTAAGATAAAGAAATTTATGTCTGAAGCAAGAAAAATTAAAAATATTTATATATATTTTAACAAGGTATCATCAGTTTATAAACAATTCAAAATATACAACAGAATATTCAACACAATGATTCTTTTTGTCAAATTGTTCTTTCATATCTATAAATGAAACTTTCAATAACAATACTGTACATACAAACATACATACATACACCCATGAAGAATTTTTCAGATTTTATGTATTCTCTTAAAAGAAAACTTCCTGATTTTCATTGGAAATGTTGGTTTGAGTTCTGATAGACTTCAGGCAGGATAATAAAAGAATATAACCAGAATAAAACATTACAATAGTCTAATATTTATATCAAGACACATGTTTATATATAAACAAAGTAAATGATGCACATACTCACCTAATGATGGATTTTTTAAAAAATTTGTCTTTATTAAAAAAATGTTTATGATCTGGTATATACTGTCAGATTAAAAAAAATACAAACCTTAAGTGAACAAGCATTATTTTTTTTTTTTTTTACTCAAGCATTATTGGTTTGAAAACCAGGAAAATGAGAGTCATTTAACTTAATCCAACATTCACAAAAGTACAATTTTGAACAATAAATAAAATATATATATATATATATATATATATATATAAGTAAGGTAGGAATGCCATACTACACAGGGGGTTACAGGAAGTAAAAGTGAGAGAAAAGAGTGAGTATAGAGAGGATTGAGGAAAGGAAAAAAAGATGAATGGGATTCAAGAAGACAGAAGATGGCAATTGACATTGCATTTAAATTTTTGAAGATTGTAGTTTTTAGGCAATTTAAAGTTTTCATTGATCTAAGATGTCACCTGGAGGGTCTTAGTACAGCAGCAGTTAGGGTCTGTTTCTCTTCCCTTAAAGAAACAATGTGATAAAATGTTTTTAATGTGGAAATTGCACATATGTGATAGTTGTATCTAGAAATTGTCCAGTTCCACATCTATCAGAGCATGCCACTAGGGCAATGGTGAGATGTTCCTTGAGGGACACATCCTTAAAAATCATTATTCTATATTTATTAAAGGCAATATTATTATTAGTATATATTTGTTTTTTTTTTTACAAGTAACCTAGGATTGTCTTTGTTTTTGCTTACCTAAAGTTATATTTAGCAAACTTGCATTTTCTACTCTTGTTCATTTTTTGTCAATTGAAAGTTTAGGTGTTAGTACTGTCAAAAAAGCAGTATAAATGATTTTATAGTATGTTAAATAATGACTTCATTATCTCTGAGTATTTTAAGCTTAAATCCTGATATATATTTTTTAATCTTTTGTTTCTGCTGTCTTTTTCTAAAATTAACAAACTTCAATATCTGTGTTTGTTTATTTGTGTACTATTTCCTAATTTGTCTTGCTTTCAAGTAATTTTGTTTACTTAATGTTTTATATACTTAAAAAACTGTTCATTTTTGTGTGTGTGGGGGAAGCTTCTAAAACACGTAATGTATATAAATTATGTTCCAAATGGTGTCATAGCCAGGGGTGATAGTGGGGACAAGCTCTCACTGTCTATAAAATGCTTCCGTCTCAAATAGCCTCTGATAACTACATCCAGCTCCAAGCCCGAGAATGAGCAAAAGTGAAAAACTGGTACTTCATAACCAGCTGTCGAGTAGATGGAGCTTGACAGCCCAGGAAAGCAGTCCATCTACGGGAAGGAAAACAATGATTTTAAACCTCTTCTACCTTAAAGTCTAAAACACAGTAAAGGCCATGGAATTAAATCAAGACAGAAAACCCAGAGTAGGCCCCAAAGTCACTTGGCTGTCAACACTGATAACTTTCCAGCAACTTCTTCAGCTAAGCAGTCCCCAAATGTAATGCCTTGTATTCCTTGGAATCTTGTTGGTGAGACTGAGATGGGGGCAATGTAGTCTGGGCAGTACACAGCCTCCATATATTATCACCAGTCTAGGAGAAGGAAAACTGAATTCAAACCACCTGGTGCCTTGTATGTCTGGCCTATATTCTTGTGAATAGTTTTATCCATTTTTAAATTGAATCAGTAATGTTATAAAATAATTCTATTTCTCTGTTATCACTTGAGAAAATCCATTTCAATAAAATTTATGAATAATATAATTCATATCTGGATTTTATTTTAATTCTTTTTTTCAATTTTTTCTTTCTTTCTGAGGAAATCCCCAAAGTTTTTTTCTCACTTATAATCTCACACAACCAAGCTGGATTTAAAAGAAACACACATATACACACACAAAAAAAAAAAAATGGAAAAAAAAAGGATCACAGCAATAGAACTTGACTCAAATTAAACATCAGAATATTGATGACAATAATGAAAAAAATTGAAATTAATTGAATAAAGTGAGCAATAATTGAATGAAAGTAAAAGGAAACTGAATTATTGAAAACAATGACTGCTAAGGGATAGGTTTTATATAAATCCCTACACCATAATTATAGCAGAGCACAGGAGATAGGTATAAAGATTTCTCTTAATGACTATTTAATTTCTTCTTGAGGCATAGTAGTGGCCTCTACAAGTAATATTTACAAATAAAAGCAGGAGAGACAATAAAAGAATTTCTTTTTAGTTTATGCAAACTGATGTTCAGGTAATAGTGTTTCTTCTTGAAAAGAAAAAAGAATTTAAATCTAGTCAAAAGTAGAGACAAAAATTTAACTAAAAAGAGTTTTTATTTAGAAAGTTTTTTTTTTCAAATTACTTAAACTCTTGTGTTGCTCTTCATATTTCTGTCAATTTTACATTGATGCTTTTTGTTTTTCTCCAATATATTTACAGTATTTTTGTATTTTTTTTTTTACTTTACATAACAAGATTAATTTTATCATTGTTTTGTTTTGCTTCCCTTCTTTGAAAGTTTACTAAAATAATATTTTGAAGACTTATATTTCATTAAATCTTTTCAAAAAGGGGAAAAATCTATGTTACATTAATCAATTTTAAATGATATGTAAATTCTTTTTGTGAAATCATGCTTCAGTAAAAGATTAAAGTTTTTTTGTTTTTTTTTAAGGAAAGTAGTCATCATGAAACTTACTTTCATTGAAGAAATATGAAAAAAACATGTTGGTTTCTTTTATCATTTCCTATTGATAATGAAAAGAGTGAAAAAATTGACTGAAAAGATGAAAAATATTAAACTCTCAGTTGTAAATGATAGAAACAATATTTTAGACAGAGACATTTTAAAACTGAATATCTTAATATTTTATTTTTGTAAAAAATGTATATGTAAAAAAAAAAAAGAAAAAAAAAAGGTTAATTTACTTGTAAAATTCTGAACAATTTATAACAGCAATGCTTAACATTTATTAATTACATCATAAACATCTCAACCAAGGTGGGCAATAGTAAGTTTTTTTCTGATTTGATTAGTTGCACACACTTTGAAATGTTGGACTTTTGGGGTGAGGGTGTTTTGATAATTTATCACCAAATGGTTTTATTAGTATCAATCCAAAATGTTAAAAACAACAGCACATAGAAACAATGATCAATCCATTAAAATTATTTATGTTATCATTAATTAAATCATCAAGGATAATTAATTTAAGAAAAGCAAAAAACTATATGTTAACAGTCATGTCCTAAACAAAATATAATATTCTACTAAAATATACAAGCCTGTTTATTCTTAAAAGAAAATCAAACCTGTACAGAAAGCAATTCTGGTTAAACATAAGACTGTAGGTTAATAATTCTTTAAATGTCAAACTATTAATTTCATTAAAAAAAACAATCTTTATTTTAACCAATATATTCTCTATCATCATTATGTCAAGAATTAACAAAATTTTTCTCATACAAACAGGGATGTGAATTGCTAAATGTTTTTTTAACAACTGAAGACATTAATAAAAAATATAAATTCAAGTAAATAAATGTAGACAACAGAACTTTATAAAAAAAAAAAATTGATCCTACATTTTAAGCACTTCAAGTATTAAAAACGCAAATGATAATATAAATAATATGGGAGAAAAAATACTTCACTTAAAAAAATTGTATGCACCAATGGCAAGTTTCAGAATTTAAAAAAAAAATATATACACAAAAGTCTATATGGGAGACAACTCTAGAAAATTAAATTTCCCCTGAGCACATGATTGTTATTGTTAACCAGTTTATTTTGTAAGAAATTCTTAAATCAAATGAGTCAAAATGGTTTCAGGCCAAATGGGCCTGAGAAAAAATACATCTAATTTTATATTCTAAAAAGAAACTAAACAATTAAAACAGAATTAACAACAATTAAAAAATTAACACAGTTCTGCTAAACACATGTTGAATTTGAGCATTATAACAGTAGCTTTAAATAACAAAACAAAAAAACATATCTCCCCCAAGTAATGTAATATTCTAAACAGAGTTTTCAATCAATATTTCAAAATGGAAGAATGAATTTGCTGAACGAAAAAAAATGAATTCATGAATGAATGAATAGATGAATTTTGGTGAAATTTGTTAAAGTTTTAAAATAATATTCTGCATAAAATATATAAACAAGCAAACAATATTAAAAGTGAATTTTTTCAGAACTTCATTTTTAAAGGTAAGTAATCAGCAATCAACTAGTGGAGAGACCGGGCCTGTGACAAGCTGATATCCTGTAAAGAAAAAGAAATTATAATCAGAATAAATCATATGAGCAGAAAATTGGGATATTCTTTAATAGAAAAGTGAAATGGATCTTGACTCTTTTTTATCTTATTCTATTGATTTCATGACCTAAGTCTTCCTCAAGTAAGACAGGCTTGAAAAAGTAAGAGATGGGAGTTTGAATTTATTTCTGATTTATGCTGCTTACTTAACAGTCATGGAATAATGGCCCTGGGCACTTCAACATGGCGTAATGGTTAGAAAGCTTGTCTTGCTAAATCAATTATGACTGAATATTGAGTACAATCCTCACTGGGTGCCCAATACATTCAGCCTTGTACCATAACTAAGCTACACTTAGAAAATTACCATTTTAGTGTAATGGTTAGCAAGCTTGTCTTGCTAGATCAATTATGACTGAATAGACAGTTCGATCCTCACTGGGTGCCTCATACTTTTGGCCTTGTGCCACATTTAAGCTACACTTAGATAACCACCATAGAATAATAACCCAAAAGTTAAAATAAAAAGCAACAGAATAAGATGGAAGAAAAACTGATAAAAAAAAATGGTGGTAATGACATTACTTATATGAAATTCAAAAACTATATCTAAAGTGTAACTGTTTTGGGATATTTTCAGTTGCTTTTGTATAGATGAAACTGCTACACAATAAAAGATTAAGATGTTTGTTTAAGTGCATGTTTAATCATTGACTGTTTTTTTTTTTTTTTGTGATGTCAACAAACATTTATTACCACTCTTGGAATGCCAACAAATACTCATCACTTTCTTAATGCTTGTTGTAGTAGAGACTTTGTAATCACAGACATAACTATAGTACACCGTTGAACAATACTGCTGTCAGACACCTTTGAATAATCTCGCATTAATAGTACTTTTTTATAACACCATCTTCCCAGAATTCTTTTCCATATTGGTACATTTTAAAAACACTTTATTACCAAGTTTAAAATATTTATTTATATTATTTTGATTCCTTGATGTTCTCTTTTTCTGTTCTGGTAGTAATTTGTTAAATACAGACTTTATCTTCCTGGTGAACATCATCTTTGTAGGTGACATTCCAGACAAAGTGTTTGGGTTTGGTGTTATTCTGTAAACACTCAAAAGTTGTTATCTGAAACAACAGAGTCAGGAACACCAAATCTTGCAAAAATCTTGTGTAGGAAATTTATCATTACTGCGGTAGTTGATCTTCTGGCCATTTAGTATAACTATCAACTACCACTAGATAGTATGCTCTGTTTAATGGTTCTGCGAAGTCTGTATGTATTCTGGACCATGGCATATGAACTTACGGCCAAGATTGAATTTTGATAGGTGATGACTTCACTGTCAGAGCACAACCTCTGCATGATTTCACTAAATTTTTATATCTTGATCCATTTTTGGCCAGTAAGTATAACATCTCATTAAGGATTTCATTCTAGAAATTCCTGGATGTCCTCTGTGAAATTCTTTTAGCATACGTTTTTGCAACAATTCTGGTATCACTATTCTTTCTGCATATGTAAGTACATCATTACATAAAGAAAATGCATTATTTCCAGTAATATTTTTTCTTTAAATCTTAATTGCTTCTTCATTTTTATTATAAAGTCATCTTTTTCCAACTTAATTCTTATTTCCTCCAATGTTATGGACAGTTCTCTTACATTATTAATTTCATTTTCAGCCTTTATTGCTGCAATTACTGTGTTTTCAAGTGGTTCGCAGAATCTTGGTATTAGTCTAGACAATCCGTCTGCATGACTTAATTTTTTGAATGGTAGAAACTCCATTTTATAATTATACTTCAATAGGATAATTCTCCAGCACTGCAGTCTATTTGCTGTATGTATAGGAATACCCTTTTTTGATCCATATGTGGAAAATAATGGATGATGGTCTGTTTGTAGTATGAATTCTCTACCATGTATGAATTTATGAAACTTTTTCATAGCAAATATGATGGCCAATGCTTCCTTTTCAATCTGGCTGCAGCATTTTTCAGCTGTAATTAATGATCTTGAAGCATTAGCTATTGGTTTAGTTGTTCCGTCCTCATATTTGAGTAGCATCACTGCTCCGATACACGAATCACTTGCATCTGATGCAACTACAATCTTTAATTTAGGGTCAAAATGAGCTAGTGACAAATCCAATGTTAAGACTTTCTTGATCTCTTTGAAATCACTTTGACATTTATCTGTCCAATTCCATTTTACATCTTTCTTGAGTAGGTTATTCAAGGGTGCTCTTAATTTATGCATGTTTGGTGTGTGTGTGTGTATGTGTTTATATATATATATATATATATATATATATATATATATATATATATGATAGTAATTAACAAACCCTAAAAAATGCTTTAACTTTGTTACATTTGTTGGAGCGGACATGTCCTTTATTGAACTTGCTCTTGAAGAATCAGGTAGTCTACCGTTTTCATCAATAATTTGTCCTAAATATTTAAATCTGCACATAAACAATTCACATTTTCCTTCACTAAACTTAAAACCATATTCTTTGATTCTCTCAAAGACTTTTTTTTACATCTTCCGTATGTTGCTTTCAAGTCTTACTTTTAATAAGTATATCATCCAAATATGCTTGATCACAATCCAAACCGGCAAGCATGGTTATCTGCTGGAATATGCTTGGTTCTACTTTTATACCGAAAATAGTCGGTTGAATTTGTATAAGCCTCTATGAGTGTTAATTGTTAATAGTTTTGAGCACTCTTCATCTACTAGTACTTGTAGATAAGTGTCTGACAGGTCCAATTTAGAAAAAAAATTTACATACATTTGGCAAAAATTTCCTCTGAACTTATAATGGGTAGTTATGTCGCTTTAAATTTTCATTTAACCCCATTGAAAAATCAGCACATATGTAGATTTTATTATTCTTTTTTTTTTTAACCTAGACTGTTGGTGATGCCCATTTGGAATAGTCTATTTTTGTTATCACATCTAATTTTTCTAGACTGTCCAATTTATTATTAATTGAATTTAAGGCCACAAAAGGTACACACCTTTTTGGCTTAAATGTTGATGTTACATTCTCTTTTAACTCAAATTTAGCTTTGGCTTTTATGCATGTCCTTAGACCTTCTGAAAAAAACTTCTGGAAAACTCCTTTTCAGTTCATTTTTTAGTTTTTCAGTTGCCATATATTGTAACAACATTTATCCTGTTGCAAAAAAATCAATTGGAAGGTCCCAAAGATTAAATAATGCAATCCAGTCTGTTCCAAATAAACTAGCAGTATTCTTTAATACAAAACGCCACCACTTTTTTTGGTTTTTCCCATAAAAACATTACAGCTGAATTCACCCAAAAGTTCAATCTTTTTCCTGAGACTCCATGTGCAACTTTATCCATTTTTCTCCATGTTTGTTCATTTATAATAGTGATATCAGATCCTGTATCTAGTTGCAATTTTATTTTTACATTATTAATTTGCACAAAAACAAATTTCCTCATTTGAGATGTCTTGTTAATTTCCCTTTTAGGCTTCTTATTGTTACTCCATGTATTTAACATGTTCACATAAGTTTTTTTCTTTTTTCTTCATTATTTCTATCTGCAACACATACTTTTGTGTCCTAATCTCCCTCATTCAGAACATTTTTTGTTCTTGAAGAAACAATCACTTTTAAAATGCTTACCTCCACAACTGTGGCAAGTATTAGGTATTGAGGGGGGTTTATTGTCTTTTTTTCCTGTTCTGTTAGGAGTTGAAAAACGTTTGTAGTTTTTTCTCATAGATGGTTGGACGCTGTATACCTGTGAATTGTCTTTCTCCTCAATCCTTGCAGTATCAAGTTTCAAATTTACAATACATTGACATACTTCCGCTATTTTCTGGAGAATTAATTTGGTATCCATTTCTAATTCAGCAAGTATCCTGGATCTTATCTCCGTGTCTTTATTAGAAGCTAATCCCCGTGCAAATATCCTGCATAAGTGACAAAATCTTCATCGTCAGACTTTACTAGGTTAAGACATTGCCATCATATATTAAATAATGAGCTTCTATGACCAAATATTTTTGATAGAATTAGAACCGTTTCCTCAAAATTTATCTCTTCTGGTTTTTCAGGAAAATATAATTCACATATTTTTCATGTTCCACAGTTGACAATTTCCTTAATAATAAACAAACTTTTTCATCATTCCAATGCAAACAATCTCTTTTGAAGATCCATTTGTATCTTCTATAATAAGCAGGAAAAGTGATCCCTTCGTCTGGATTGTATACAAATTCATTGATTGAATTAGCAACAGCATCTGGAGTGAATGAATCTGAAGTTTTTTCTTTCATGGTTTTGGTAAAAAACTCAAAAAATGTCTGTTGTTGTAGTTGTAATTATAATTGCTGTTCATGCTGTCATTTTTGTTGCTGCAAATGTTCTCCTTGTTGTTGCTTCTGTAACACCAACATTTGAACCATGATGGCTTTTAGTTCTTCCATTTTGCTGTACTCTGCTGAATGAATTCTCGTGAAAAAAATTCAAGGAATCCTTGTCATCACTTTTATGATGTTAACAAACACTTGTTGCCACTTTTGTGATGCCAATGAATACTTGTCACTTTCATAATGCTTGTTGTAGTAGAGACACTGTAATCACAGATACAACTGTAGTACACCATTGAACAATACTGGTGTCAGACATCTTCAAATAATCTCATACTAATAGTACTTGCTTGATAATACTCACTTGAATAGTAATACATATAGTGACCCAAATAGAGAATAGTGGTCAATATAGAATAGAAGGATAGACTAGAAATGTGATCTGAACAGTATAGAGGATAGGCTAAAATATAGTGATCAATTAGATGCCAAGCTACTTTTTACTTATTCATTTCCTCTATGGTCACATGGTTTACTTTATTCAATAATTCACCCGTGTTTGCTCACTGGCAATCTATGTTCTAACTCAAATGTCAGCAGCAACATTTTATTCCTATATAACAGTTTTCCTTTTAGTACT